ATAGGCAGGCCCAAGTCATAAGGAGTTCAGCCAGAGCTGGGGCCCTAAGGTGTAAAGCAATGTCTAAACTCCAGAGCAGGAAAAAAGGCTCAGGATCTCTTTCTGCTGACCACGGGTTACATATGAGATCCTGAGAACATGGCGCACTCTGAGGTAGGAGGATGAATTCAGTGGATTTAAAGTTCCCCAGTGCTAAAGTCACCTAAATCTCAAAGTCCCTGGTCTCAAGTAGTGATGGAAAAGGAGAGAGCTTCAAAGATGAACTGATGGGGGGGGGGGGGGGGGTACTGGCGGGGGGGGGGCTTGTGGGAACCTTCTGGAGTGCTGGGAGTTTAAATATCTTGATCTGGGTGGTGGTTGCCGGTATCTGCATACCTAGAAATTCATTGAACTTGGGGGTTGTGCCCTTTGCACACTGCTGTGAATATTTTATACCTCAACATTATAAAAGTATTGCCAAGAAATGAAAGGCCACCATGGGGGCGGGGTGGGGGTGAAGGGCACTTAACAGACACTCCCTGCGACTCCCTTCCGTAGTCCTGGCTAAAGCATTTGAAGCTCAGAGGGTTAAGTAATTTACCCAAGGTCACACAGCAGACAGCCAGGGAGCCAGGCTCCCACCCTGATCGCAAGGCCGGGGCTCTCCCCCTCCACCATCCCCCTTGGCTTAAGTTATTTATGGAATTCAGACTCTGGAAGACTAGATAAACGCTGAGGTCTCCTCCAGCCCCGAGGTTCTGCTCGTGTGTGATTAAATGAGAGGTGGGAGTGAGGGGCCCTCTCACCTCCCCGGAGGAGCTGGAGGCCCCGCGTGCAGACGGAGGGCCGGCCTTCCTGCTCCTCCTGCATCCCTCCCACCCGGCGCTTATCTGCTGCCGAGGAGGCCGGAGTTTATCAACGCTACACTCAATTATGCTGCCCATCTGTCTCCGCAGCTCAGGGGGACCTGGCACCGAAGCAGCCAAGGCCAGGCGATCCATCACCGCCTGCCGTCCTCCCTCTGGACCCTCAGCTCCCAGTGGCTGGGGCGGGGCACCAGGAGGAGAGGAGGGGAGGGAGAGACCGACCGTGGGCGCCACCGCCTCCTTCTGGATGCCAGGCGGGAGCACCAGGCTGTGCTGGGGGCGCCCCAAAACTCTTCCTTTAGAGCTTTGCCAAGGGGCGTATTTCACGGGGAGGGGGGGGGGGGGGGGCCAGAGGATCAATTGCACACTTCCTCTTCTAGAAGCATCCGAGATGCTCCCTGTAGGAAGTGCTTCACCTGGGTTTGCCCTCAAAGCCTTTCCAAGAGGAAGGGCTCAAGGGCCCTGCAGATGGGAGTCAGGTAGATTTGTAGACCCAGGTCCGTCTCTAAAGGAGTTTGTCTCTAAAGGAGCTCGCCCTGCACTCTGCTTAGGCAAAGCAGGCATTGATCCCCGTGGGCTGGGCTGGTGGGGCAGGTTACACAGTAAAAGATGCAGGGCTGGAATTCTGCCCCAGCTTCATAGAAGCTGTGCAACCTCTGACAAATCACTTAACCTTTCTTACCCTCGCTCGCCTCCCAGGCAAAATGAAACTAATAATTCCTATTTTCCCTACACACAGGGTTGATAAGAGGATTAAATAAAACGCACATGTGATCTACATGTTTTCCTACACTTGGTGCTCTGGGGACACAAAAAGCATGTAAGACATGGGCCCTGCCACAAGGAGTTTGCATTCCAGTGGGGGAAAATGTACACGTGATGGTCTGAACTCCTGATCACCCAGGAGATTGTAGATAAAAGACAATTAGCTTTCTCCGCAGCTCCCCGATAGGAATTGCTAATCAGCCTGCAGGCGTGGGCCATGTGCAAGACAGCCGTAAATGGTGATGGCAGGTGAGTGGGCAGCTCCCAGCTCCATCCTGGAAGGGGCTGTGTGTTCAGCAAGGAGAGGCAGGACTTGTCTGGGCCTGTGCCATGCCAGGGAGTCAGAGGGGCAGTGTGAACAGGAGTCACCAACCCCTGCCTCTCCCTAGATCCCAGCGCCCAGTTCTAGGCTCTGGGTCCATAAGGAGTGATCTCTGCCTCACCTAGATGGCCCAGCAGCCCCAGAGGCCAGAGGCGGGGAGCTGCCTGGAGTGGAGCTTTCTCAGTGGTTTCTGGGTCCCTTCTGTGTCATTGAGCGCTGACTCAGCACTTGAAACAAAGGTGTTGGAGGAGGAGAGAGAAGCCCTGGCCCAGGCAGCATCTGAAGGTTGAGGACAGGCTGGGGCCCTTCCTGTAGAGCCCTCTCCACTTGGGAACTGTCTTGGACTCACAATCATTTTGAGGTTTTGGTGCCACACCCAGCATGGCACCATTTGAAGCTGTGACATGTGATCTATTTCAGCCCACAGCTCCCACCCACCCACTTCGCCCCGCTCCCCCAGCAGGCAAGCTTAGTAGGAACTTGTTGAGTCCTAGGATCCAACTTCAACTCCTCCTCCTCCTCCTCCTCCTCCTCCTCCTCCTCCTCCTCCTCCTCCTTTGGTACCAGGGGCACTTACACTGAGCCACATCCCCAGCCCTTTTTTGTAGTTTATTTTGAGACAGGGTCTCATGAAGTTGCTTAGCTCCCTGCTAAATTGCTGAGGCTGGCTTTGAATTCACGCTCCTCCTGCCTCAGCTTCCCAAGCCGCTGGCGTGTGCCACCACGTCCAGCTCTAGGATCCAGTTTTTTTTTGTGTGCCCTGAGAAGCCCTGTAGCTGGAGAACCTCCCAACCTGGGAGACATCCAGAGGTCTGTGTGCAACACACCCAAACTGTTTAATTCCAACGACAGTCTTCCACATAAGGGAAGGGATGCTTGAGAAATCAAGTAGCTTTCCCAGGCTAGTGAGTGCTACAGCCAAGTTTTGGGTCTATTTGCAGGTGGATCTGCTCTCTTGTGCTAGGTCTAGACGGGTCAGTGCCCTCTGGTACATCAATGTGCAGAAGCTTAGGTCCTGTTCATTGGCAGGGACCACTTCAGGACTCAGCTGCTTCCTCTCTGCCCCCACTGCACATCACAACCCACCCCCCCATGGCCTGTCCCTGACCCCAATCCCTGGCTTGGGCGGCTGGGCTCCCCAGGCTTCCCGTTGCACATGTGTGCTGGCGTGTGAGCACATGTGCACACGTGTATTTGTTTCCCCTGAATTTGACGTGTCAGCACACACACCCCTACGCAAACCTCTGTGCCTTTCAAGTCATGGTTGTTTTTTCCACCTTCAGAAATAGCTGCAGAGGAAAGTGGGAAGCAGTCGGAAGTAAACAGGCACACTGCTCTCCAACTCAGGGAAGGGACCCTGCCTCCAGCTGCTCCCTCCCTAGCATCCTGGAAGCCCAATGGAGTGGCCAAGAACCCCTCTGGGGAGTTGAGAGGTTGGGAGCTTGGAGGCTTGCTGTCCCTTCTTGCGAAAGTTCTGGGCTTTCCACACTCCCTAGTAAGGATAGCAACGGGCACCAGCCTCCTGCTGCAGCACCAGTGCACCCCAGGCCTCGGGGGCCCAAGGCGGGTTGGACCCAGACTTGGGGGCAGAGAAGCCGGTGTAGCTGGCACAACCTCCAGACAGGTTGCTTCCTCTCTCTGGCTGTGTGCCAGCTACAGGGCTTGAGCCAAGGCCTTTGGCCTCTTCTGAACCTCAGTTTCTTCATCTGCAAACTAAGGATGTGAAAGCTTATCTCTTAGGCATGTCATGAGGGTTAAGTGAAATGAGATGTTCAGGGTCTTCAGAGAGTCCTGGCCAATCAATGGTAGGTGCCAACAGTGTTGTGCGTTTCTCTGGTAACCTGGGACTGAAAGTCCACCTGGAATCCGTCTCCACTTAGGAGTCAGACCAGGCTAAGAAGGAAGCATGGGGGTCTGACCTGCTTTTGTTTCCATCTTTGGTTCTAGATCAAGGCTGAACCTGCCTCCAGGGTGGCCTGGCCTGGTCCTGGGGGGAAGGGGATTGAGTCCTACAATACGTACTCACTGAGGACCTGTCCCATGCTCCTGGCACAACAATTAGCACAACAGTTAGCAAGACAGGTCTCACGTTGGAGAACTTTGCACAGATGTGGTCAGGGCTGTGCCCGTGGGAACGTGGACACTGTTGGAGCAAGAGGCCAGCCCCTCAGTCTGCAGGGGTGGAGGGTTAGGAGAAGCTTTCTGTAGGAGGTGATGAGCTTGAGTCTTGAAGAACAAGTAGTTTTCTAAGAGACAATAAGAAAGGGTGATGTGTCACTGTGACTTCAATCTGGAAGACTTGTGCACAGTGGGTGAGCAGGTGGTAACCAGAAAAATCAGAAGTAAGCTGGCCAGGCCAGGTCTCAGAAGGTTTTCCCAGCAGGGCTCAGACCCAGGCTACTGAACCCTACAACCTCCTGGGTCACTGTGGCAGCTACTGGGAAGGGAAAGTCCCTGTCTCCAGGGTGGGAAATGGCCACAGAGAGAAGCAGCCCCCCCCCCACCCCCCACACACACAACCAAGAAAGCCTAAGCAGACTCCAGGCAGGACCAGCCCACCTCCCCAGCCTCTGTGGATGTGGGATCAGGGTTCTGCTGTCCTTCCGCTACAAGGTCTGGGGAGCGCATTCCAGATTTTATAAGCTGGGCTTGTTTCCACCACCCACTTCCCACCTACAAAACCAGGGGGGTTTCTAGAAATTCTCATTGTATCTGGCATTTACCAAGTGAGCCAGGAAGGGAAGGAGGAAAGAGGTAAGAAAGGCTGAAGAATCGATTCCACATCTCTGTGGGCTCAGAATGACTCCAAAGACAGCAATCCCAGCTTGTCCACACTCCCTCCAGACACTGCCCCCTGACCCCTTCACTATCCCAGGGCTCTTCCTGGAGGACTCAGTCAGCTGCTAGCCAGGTGGTAGAAAAGGACACCAAAGCCTAAGGACAGTAGGACAGAACCCAAGAAGCCTGGCTCCAGTGGTCCCTCTGCTGCCCCTTGGAGCAGAGAGACTGGAGGAAGGGGGGAGAATCTACTTCCTGCTGCTCCTTAACTCTCCACCCTCTCCTTCCAGGGCTGCCTGTGACGGGCCATGGCGATGAGGGAACAGGCCCAGACCCAGCGCACGAGGATGAGGAGCCACACCCAGGAGGGCACAGAGTGACGCCCACCCATGCCCACATAGAATGACTGTCCTGAGACGGCAGTTCCCCAGGCCCTGGCAGGGCTGCTGACCCTCAACCTGCAAAACGCAAAAAGCAGGACTGGACTCTACTTGTGGATGGTCACCTGTCCCCCAGCGCCATCATGAGGCTCCTCGTAGCCCCCATCCTGCTAGCTTGTGTGGCTGGTGCCACTGCTGCTGTGCCTGTGGTGCCCTGGCATGTGCCCTGCCCCCCTCAGTGTGCCTGCCAGATCCGGCCCTGGTATACGCCTCGCTCCTCCTACCGAGAGGCCACCACGGTGGACTGCAATGACCTGTTCCTGACGGCGGTGCCCCCGGCGCTCCCTGCAGGGACCCAGACTCTGCTGCTGCAGAGCAACAGCATCGGCCGCGTGGACCAGAGTGAGCTCGCCTACCTGGCCAACCTCACAGAGCTGGACCTGTCCCAGAACAGCTTCTCGGACGCCCGTGACTGTGACTTCCGGGCCCTGCCCCAGCTGCTGAGCCTGCACCTGGAGGAGAACCAGCTGGCGCGGCTGGAGGACCACAGCTTCGCGGGGCTGGCCGGCCTGCAGGAGCTCTATCTCAACCACAACCAGCTCTACCGCATCGCCCCCAGGGCCTTCGCGGGGCTCAGCAACCTGCTGCGGCTGCACCTGAACTCCAACCTGCTCAGGGCCATCGACAGCCGCTGGTTTGAAATGCTGCCCAACTTGGAGATCCTCATGATTGGTGGCAACAAGGTGGACGCCATCCTGGACATGAACTTCCGGCCGCTGGCCAACCTGCGCAGCCTGGTGCTGGCGGGTATGAGCCTGCGGGAGATCTCCGACTATGCCCTGGAAGGGCTGCAAAGCCTGGAGAGCCTCTCCTTCTATGACAACCAGCTGGCCCGGGTGCCCAGGCGGGCCCTAGAGCAGGTGCCTGGACTCAAGTTCCTCGACCTGAACAAGAACCCGCTGCAGCGGGTGGGCCCCGGAGACTTTGCTAACATGCTACATCTCAAGGAGCTGGGGCTGAACAACATGGAGGAGCTGGTCTCCATTGACAAGTTTGCCCTGGTCAACCTCCCCGAGCTGACCAAGCTGGACATCACCAACAACCCGCGGCTATCCTTCATCCACCCCCGCGCCTTCCACCACCTGCCCCAGATGGAGACCCTTATGCTCAACAACAATGCTCTCAGTGCCTTGCACCATCAGACGGTGGAGTCCCTGCCCAACCTGCAGGAGGTGGGGCTCCACGGCAACCCCATCCGCTGTGACTGTGTCATCCGCTGGGCCAATGCCACGGGCACCCGTGTCCGCTTCATTGAGCCACAGTCCACCCTGTGCGCTGAGCCCCCGGATCTCCAGCGACGCCCAGTCCGTGAGGTGCCCTTCCGGGAAATGACGGACCACTGCCTGCCCCTCATCTCCCCCCGCAGCTTCCCCCCCAGCCTCCAGGTGGCCAGTGGAGGGACCATGGTACTGCACTGCCGGGCACTGGCCGAACCAGAACCTGAGATCTACTGGGTCACTCCAACTGGGGTTCGACTGACACCGGCCCATGCGGGCAGGAGATACCGGGTGTACCCCGAGGGGACCCTGGAGCTGCGGAGAGTGACAGTGGAAGAGGCAGGGCTGTACACCTGTGTGGCCCAGAACCTGGTGGGGGCTGACACTAAGACAGTCAGTGTGGTGGTTGGCCATGCTCCCCCCCAGCCAGACAGGAATGAGGGACGGGGACTGGAGCTGCGGGTGCAGGAGACCCACCCCTATCACATTCTGCTCTCTTGGGTTCCCCCACCCAACACAGTTTCCACCAACCTCACCTGGTCCATCGCTTCCTCTCTCCGGGGCCAGGGGGCCACTTCTCTGGCCCGCCTACCCCGGGGCACCCACAGCTACAACATCACCCGCCTCCTTCAGGCCACAGAGTACTGGGCCTGCCTGCAAGTGGCCTTTGCTGATGCCCACACCCAGTTGGCTTGTGTATGGGCCAGGACTAAAGAGGCCACTCCTTGCCACAGAGCCCTTGGGGACCGGCCTGGGCTCATAGCCATCCTGGCTCTCGCTGTCCTCCTGCTGGCAGCTGGGCTCATGGCCCACCTTGGCACAGGCCAGCCCAGACAGGGGGTGGGTGGGCGGCCTCTCTTTCCAGCCTGGGCTTTCTGGGGCTGGAGTGCCCCGTCCATCCGGGTGGTGTCTGCACCCCTTGTCCTGCCTTGGAATCCAGGGAGGAAGCTGTCCCGATCCTCAGAAGGGGAGACACTGTTGCCACCATTGTCTCAAAATTCCTGAAGCTCGGCCAGTTCTCAGCGGTAGAGAAATAACTAGGACTACTTTTTATCAAAAGGGAAGCGATCTGGGCCAGATGCCCTGCCAGGAAAGCGGCAAGGGCCCACGTGCTTGAGGCCTGGCAGCTGGACCAGGACACAGGGGCTCTGTGGCTCCCAGGGGTTCTCCTGAGGCCTCCAAAATGTTGCTCTTATCTTCTGGGGTCCTCTGCTGCCATTCATGAGGAACATGTCCAAGGAACAGGAAGGACTCTGGCTAGAGCCTCCCACCTCCCCATTATCTACATGCCCAGAGGCTGCTGGGCCTCTGCTTGGCTTTCCCCTGCCTGTGTCCCCAGGCCCTGGCCCACAGGATACACCCCTTCCTCTTCTCTTTCTTTGTACAGTCTCAGTTGCTTGCTCGTTCCCCTCCTGGGCAAGGGCTGAAGGAGGCCTCTCCTTCCCATCTTGGGGGATCACCCCAAAGTGGAAGTGACCCCAGCTGGGCCTGAAGGACATTTGGGGAGAGGGATGCCCAGGAACGTGTCATCTTGGCAGTCTGGGCTCTCTGGCGCTGACTTTCTATAGGCAATTTTGTATCTTTGTGGAGAAATGTGTCACCTGCCCCCAACCTGATTCACTCTTTTCTCCTGTTTTGTAAAAAATAAAAATAAACAATCATAATAACAACAATGATAAGGGATAGGGGGACAAAAAATGAAAAGAAAAGCACCCTTTGCATTCTGAGCACAAAGGAAGAGCTCTCTGTCCTGGGATCTCTTCAAAGGCTGACAGTGATGGGGGTGGGGAGTTTTTCCTTTTCAGTTGAATTCTGGTCTCTGGGTCTGCTCCACCCCCAGAGAGTCCCTATAGCTATGAGCAGGAGAGCTAGGGAAGAGGGACAAAGAGCAGGAGAGGCTAATGATGTCCAGCAAAGAAGAGAAGGAGGAAGATCACACTGGAAGCTAGGAGAGGGGTGGAAGAGAAAAATGGAGACACACATAAAGATGCAGAGAGAGAGAGCGGAAATTTCCATCACCAAACATGGTCCCGCTTCTCCTTCTCTGATAAGCAATTAACATGCCAGTGCATAGGAAGCACTTCCCTGCCTATTTCTAATTAAACAAACCCAAGAGGCAGAGTCATGCAGAGAATTGCAAATCATCAAGACAGCGAGAACTTTGGCTAGCTGGGGCAGGAGGGGGAGTGGGGTGAAGAGGATTTGAGGAGGGGAAGACTGTGGGATAGGAAATTGCTGCATTTATCTTTCCTTTCCATTTCAGCATAATTTGCAATGAACTTGGTTTGCTTTTGTGTGTGTGTGGTGTTTTGTTTTGTTTTAACGGATTTGACTTCTGACAACCCCATGTGAAGAAGAACATCTGTTGGGAAGCCAACTGAGCCAAGGGCAGGGGGGCGGCTGTGGGCCAACAAGAGGGTAACACCAGAGCCCAAGGCTCCTGGGTGACCGTGCTCTGTTTCTGAAACAGACTGGGAAAGGAATGGGTTTCCCAAGACTGAGATAATGTGACTGTGAGCTTTAGGGTCCCCCTGTGATAGAGAAAACATGTGGCAGACTTGTTGGAAGCCAATTCTAAACCACCACAACTGCAAATGTATACACAGATAGACGTCAGACCAGGGACAGACAGAACACCAGGGTCCACAGACCTAGAACATGATCACTCACCAAAGCCAGAAGGAGAGGCCGAGGCAGCATCCGTAATCACCAAGAGCAGGGATCTGGAAACCATTAGCAAAGTGCTGTTTTAGAAAGTTCCTTCCTCCTGGGCAGGGCTGCCATATTTAAACCTGCAATGGAATCCCCTGTGGGACTTGGTAAACCCAGAGAAGCCACATCCCTGCCCCAGACTCTTTCATCTACAACAGACGGGTGGGGCCCAAGAATTGGCATTTCTAACAGGTTTTCAGGTGATGCTCATACCGCTAGAGTGGGGACAACACTTTGAGAATCTCTGGTGGCCAGTCTGCAGTGGCTAGAATTTTTGACACTTGCTCCAGGCCTCGGCTTTTTTTTATAGACAGCAGAAGGGAGTTGGGACAGTCCCTCTGCCTCTTCCCACTCAGCCTCCATTTCAATGACACCCATTCACAGATGCTCTTCTAAGGCATATGGTCTTCAGGGAAGGGTGCAGATCTTTCCACATCTATCCATGCTCCCTGTCCCCTCGCTCACCCAACAGACCCTCCTGCCCCCTCCCAGGCTGCTTTCCAGATAAGCTTTGGAATCATCCAATCCACATCCTACCGTTATCTGCAGCTGGCCTGGGGGGGGGGGGGGGGGGGCCTATTTGTTGCCCTCCATGATTAGGAAGCTCTATAGGGAAGAGGTGGGACAGGGCCGTGCCAATCATAGAGAGCCAGAGTCGGAAGTCACCGTCTCTTTTTCTTTAGGACCATCCATCAGCAGTTGACACCTTTCTTGGCATGGAAAATCAAAGTGCTTTTCCCCTAAATAAGCATCCAGAGCCCCGTAATGCTCCTGAATCTGCACACCCACTGCCACCCAAAGAGCCCTGGACTGGGTCATAGCAGCCTAAGAAGTGCTCCCAGCAGCTTTAGAGTCCCTTTAGGTCCCTCTTAACTCAAAATGCTTGTAAATGAGCCTGTGGTTGGATAGACATCAGACCAGGGACAGAGATTGGGAGTCCCCAATCCCCCAGACCATTTTCTGCCTCTGGTCTATCCCTGTTTCCCTCAGACGCCTCCCTTACAGATAGGAAACCAAGAAAAGCTGTGAGCTCCTGGGGCAAGGGAGAAGTCACTCAACCAGGAGGATGCGACTCTGGCTCCCCGGCCCCAGGCCCTGCTGCTTCCCAGCCGCCATGTGGCTCACAGCTGCTTGAAATGAATCTCTGCTTCTGGTGGAAAAAGTCATTATGGGGATGTATTCTGTCTCTTAATCGACTCCACGGGTCCTGAACCGATTGGCTACTCCAAGGAACTAAGATAGGGGAGGTGGGGAAAGAAATGACCTCTTTTCTGCTAGAAGAGGAAATGGTGCTGTAGGGACAGCCAGCCGAGGGGAGGGAGGAAAAGGTACTTGGTGGGGTGCTGTGTCCTGGAATTGCTAGAAATGGAGCTGACGCAAGTGATCCGCCTCTCGCCTGGTACAGAGCTGGACCCGGGGCCCAGGCGTGTCCCCCAGCAAGGAGGACAGCGAGACCCTCCCCTGACCGCCTCACAGCTCTGAGTGTCTATTAATACAGCCAGAGGTAGCATCTGCAGTCTTAGCTTTCACAGTAGACGGAGCATGTGGTCGACTACATACTTGACTTACAACAAGCAAAATACGATTAAGCCTGGTCTCTGTGCATTTGAGATGACTGTTTTTTACTGGGTGTGGTGACACATGCCTTGTAATCCCCGTGATTCAGGAGGCTGAGGCAGGAGGAGGACTGCCAGTTCAAAGTCAGCCTCAGCAATTTAGTGAGACCCTAAGCAACTAAGCAAGACCCTATATCTAAATAAAAATATAAGAAAGGGCTGGAGTTTTGGCTCAGTGGTTAAGCACCCCTGGGTTCAATTCTTGGTACAAAAAAAAAAGTGGAGGGGCCTGTTTTTTCTTAAATCTTACATAGAAAATTATTTCTGTTGGATTTTAGGTCTCTACTTAGAGCCTATCATTTCCATCTACTGAGATGATTTCAAAACACAGCCTAGATGTTGGGCATTTCCCTCTCTAGTACACGCCACTGGCAAATTCCATTCTGCCTCCCGTGTTCTCATCCACAGCCCCAATAGATTGTGGAGCAAATCTGGGCCAGGAGACAGCTCGATGGCTCTCTGCGGCAGCCTTCCCACCAGCCTGACATGGGTCCATTAATCAACACGTCTGGCTGCTCAGCCAGCTACAAACCACCTAAATATACTATCTAGCAGCCTACATTTCTGCATCTCATCTGCTGGGCTGTCAAGGCAGACTCCGTGGGAGGCTGTGCCAGAAAGAGGATAGAGTGAGATTGTACCATTCCTGGGAACTCTCAGTCTAGACATCCATCGTATCGTGGAAGTAGGTGAGACTGGCTGGTCCGGAGTAGGGGACCCATTGGGACTTTCCTGGTTTTAGCACTGAAAGTCCCTTGTTTCAGGAACCCTCTCAGTCCTGGGAACCTGGGACGATTGGTCGCTCCAAGCCAGGGAGCTCTCTAAGTCCGATGCCGCCATCTCTCTCCCTCCCTCCCTCCCAAGCAGAGAAAAGTTGATGGACATGACTATGTGGTGGGCAGTGGTCTGCGGCAAAAATTTCCGAGTTCAGAAACCTTGCATTTTAGTGAGGAGGAGAAATAAGTTAAAATGTTCAATATATTGAATCATGAGAACTATGGAGAAAAATTTAAGTCAAAGATGAGGAAGGGGGGGTGTTTACATAGGATGATAGGAAAGACTTCATCGAGAACCTGACGTTTGGTCAAAGACTTGGAGTAGTGAGCCAAGCAGTATCTGGGAAAAGAACTCCAGGCCAGGAGAATGGCAAGGGTGAAGGCCAAGAGCAGGAGGCTAGTTGGGTAGAGCAAGGGAGGCTGGGGGAGAGCATCTGCCGTGCTCGAGGTCAGAGCAGCAGCAGCCATGATCCTCTTGGGTCTTGCTGGCCACCGTAAAGACTTGGCTGTTCTTCCAGGAAGACAGAAAGCCGCTGGACGGTTCCGAGTGGATATGGCATGATTCGACCTAGGGGTTCCCCCTGGTTGCTAGACAGAGAGCAAAGCATGGAGGTTTAGGGTTCACAAGGACAGAAGTGGGGACATCATTTGGGAGGTGATCATAAGAATCAGTTTATTCCATCTCTTCTAGAACTTCACCAGGGCTGGACTCTGAACAAGCTCTTTGTTTTCTGAGTCTCTTCTTCCCCTACTTTAGCAAATTGAAGCCATGTTTACTCCTTCACTGGCTCTGGGCCCCCTCCGCCGCCCCCCAATTCTTCACAGTAGTTCATGTGGGTGGAGGGTCCACCATCACCTGTGTGGGCTCAGCACCCTGCTCCCCCCCCCACTCTCCCCCAGTCTCCTCCAAGGCCTCAGAACAGAGATGGGAGCTAATTTAAGGTGGGGAGGAATAACCTCGATAGCCTTCAGTTCCATCTGATTGTTTGGTGTCAAAGCCCATCATACTGAGGGGACATCACTGGCATGAGCAAGTCACCATCCTGCCCTTCTGCCAGCCATTCACAGCGCCTCGTCTGGTCCAGGTGCCACATCTACACTCCTGAAGACTTTATGAATGGAACCCTTGTGAGTTTCACAGATGTCCGATCACCTGTCCTTCTGCCTGCCCTGCATGATTCTTGCCCACTGCGCTATTCTTTTGCAGTTGCCCTTTGTTTGAGAGCATCTTCTATTTTTTTGTGGAATGGCAAAAATGACTAACATTGGGCACTTACCATGCGCCAGCCACAATAGCAGGGATGTCATACGGACCCTTTCATTTCATCCATTATTACCTTATAAAGTGGACACTATTTTCTCTGCTTTATAGATTTAAGTATTAGGGCTCAGAAAGGTTGAATGATATTTCTTTTTTTTAATATTTACTTTTTAGTTCCCAGCGGACACAACATCTTTGTTTGTATGTGGTGCTGAGAATTGAACCCGGGCCTCACGCATGCCAGGCAAGCGCGCTACCGCTTGAGCCACATCCCCAGCCCTGAATGATATTTCTAAGGTCATATAGCAAATAGGTGGCAGAGTCAGGATTC